AGTACATGCACATGCACATATAAATTACATTAACAATGGCGTGTAGTACTAATCATATTTATACATCATGCATCTCTGATATTAAATATTGTATAACCTTAACAGCAGAGCCGATGTCTGCAGAAACAATGAACTTGTTGTCTGAAGAAATATCACAAGATTGAACACCGTCTTGATGAGCAGTAAATGTACAGAGGAGCTTCTTTGGAAATTCCCAAACCTACAAAGCACATATTAAAAGGGTGTGGTTACAATGACTAAGCTCCTCCTACCTTGCAAGTTTTATCATCAGATGCAGTGACTAGTAGGTCTCCAGTTTCATTGATGACACAATGAGTTATGCTGTTAGTGTGACCACCAAATGACTCCAATACCTCACCAGTGGAAGCCTTCCATATCTAACAGCAAAGCAACAAAAATACAATTATACATAATATATTGTAATGATTGTATAGAAAAAACATTAATAATAATCATTAATAACATTAAGTAATAGGTGATTCACTTTTGCTTGATTGGATGAGCATGATAATACACTGGATCCACCATCAAAGAACTGACAGTATCTCATGTCTTCGTTCCTGTGTGGCTGCAACTGGAGGAATGCAGTGGGGAGGTTAATAGAGCTACGATTACTAAAGAGGAAAACCAGAAAATAGAAAATTAAAAACTACTCGACAGATACTATAAGTAGAACTTTCAAATAATGAAACTTTTGAGACTAAAATTTTTTCACTATGCACAAAAGATGCCTTTAAAAGATAAGTTTTAAATTTAGTAGTTTTATTTTTATTATTTAAAGGTGCTTGTTAAAGAGAAGTATCTCATTATTGGAAGTTTTGCTGTATCATTCCATTCATTCTGCTTGACTCACCACCAGTCCAGCCAGGGTGTATCAGTATCTCCACTAGCTACTCCTCTAGCAATCTCATAGAGCTTGTCTTGATGGAGTAGCAAGAGCTAACTGAATGACATCCTCTGTAGTGATAAGAGGAGAACCAAGTACATCAAGATGGCGACTCAGAAACAGCTGCAATTCGTTAGCAGTATCACGATACTAAGAGATGGAGGGAAGTTAAAATGTAGAATTAAAATTAGTAATAATAATAATTAAGAGCTCCTACTTGTTGAGGTACGTTCAAACGATATTTCTTATAATGCCCTAGGAGTGAGTTGGGGTCCCAGTGAACGCAGCTGGCAGCCAGCCACAGTATATCTGAGAGGAGTTGGCCCAGTTCATCAAACATCAGAGCAGAGTGAAGGTGAGGGATCAATTTCTGATGTATGTAGCCATCCGGGTTCAACTTAGAGAAAACACCATCACAATTATCACTGTAACTATGATTGTAAAACGAGAAAAAAATCATTAATTTTTAGAAATTGTATTAAAAATATACAATGTACATGTAGTTGTGCATTAACTTTGTACTAAATCATACATGCACAGTATATATTATGCATTACCTTTGTACTAGTTCTTGGTGGTATGTAACTTGTTTTTCATTAGGTACAGTGTCTTGAAGATACTCTATGATGAGGTCATGGACTGTGAATGAGAGGAAGCCTTGAGCCGATTTAGTGCTCACTGCTTTCTGTGCCAATGACCAACCAACAATAGCTAGAAAGAAAGAAAAAACATCAAAAAACATCAATATGTACATGTAATTTAAAATTTAATAAAATTGGGGGTGATTTTGAAGCCAATTTTTGGAAAAAAACATGGGCTATAGCCTTTGCTTTTTTTCTAAAAATTGGCTCATTTTACAAAATGCTCATAACTCGAAATTTTTTGGCAAAAACAGCTCAAACCTTCGACATAGCATAATACTGTAAATGCATATCACAAATTTCATAAAGAATTAGTCAATTTAACTCTCTTCTCCTCTTTTCCACTCCACCTACTCATCATAATCTCCTCAGCATCATCAGGCTCCTCATTCCACAGTATAGCCAGTACTTCAGTAGTGATAGTAATGTCTGGATCAAACACTACCAGCAT